CAGGGTGGTGGAGGCGGCAGGGCGGGACTGGGGACTGGTGAGCAGGTAGAAGATGGCCCTGATCGCAGGCTAGGCCTAGGAACCCTACCCATGCACGATTTCGTGCGCTGGGCCTCTAGTAAATACATAAATATGTAGAACAATAAATCAATGGTTCTCCCCACCTAAAAAAAAAACACACACAAAGAAAAGAATAAAAATTAAAAAAGAAAATAATGAAACTGGGGTCTCAGGCGTAGCTTCCTCCCAAAGGCAAAGCTGAAGAAGCATGAAAATCCATGTCTCTTTTTTGCTAACAGTGTGTTTTCAGTTAGATTGATTCTTGTGAGGAGCCCCATGTGCTTTCAGATGGCCTTGGTGCAGAAACATGTAGCAGCAGCATGGTCAGATCACTAATTTCTGTTCATTTTCTTTTTTTTAATTTTTATTTTCTTAAATCTTTATTGTTGAAAGTATTACATAGGTCCTCCTTTTCCCCCGTTAACCTCTAACCCCCACTTCGTCCTCCCTCCCCCAGGCCCTCACCACCCCATTATTCGTTTCCATGGGCTATGCATATAGGCTTACTAGTTCATTGGTTGATCTCTTCCAGTCTGTTCATTTTCTTGCGGCTCTGGTGAAAGTCAATATATTAGTCATCTTGTATTGTCATAAGAAAATAATATTGACGGGCAGCTTAAACAACAGAAATTTATTTCTAATCGTTCTGGAGGCTGGAAGTCCAAGATCCATGGTGCCAGCCAATCAGTTTGTAGTGAGGAATTGCTTCCTGGCTGTCCTCACATGGCTGAGCGAGGGTGTGCAGTGGTGTCTCTTTTTATGAGGATACCAGCCCTAGTGGCTTAAGGTCCTGCCCATATGACCTCATTTAACCTTTATCACCTCCTCAAAGTTCTTCAGACATAGTCACATTGGGTGTTAGGGCTTCAATTAGGGATTTGAGTGTAGGGCTTTGAGTGTAGAGGTGGTGATGATTTAATTTTAGATTAAGTTAATTTCCATGTTAATCTACAACGTGGTTCCTTTTGTGCTTACGTGACATTAGAACAGTTTACTGGTACATCAGGAATCTTAAGAGCTGTTTGACCTAAGAGAACTTATTGTTCCTCCCAATTGGATGGATTAACTTGGACTTATTTATTGAGTGCCTGTTTTTGTGAGACTACTTGGGTTAACCTCAATACTCTACGTCAGTGGGAATTGAAACATGATTCATGTGCAAAGGTTGCTGCTACAGAAGGCCAAGAACCCTGAGAAAAGGGCAAACAGGGTGAATCAAAGGCCCTAAGGATTTGGAGGGGAGAGGCAAACATCTCTGGAAGGATTTGTCTGTTGTCGATTTCCCAAATCATGTGATTTTATGAGGTTAAGGGAATCCTATTTATTATACTAATTCATCTTATTCGTCTGAATATTATGCTGTAAATATAAGTTAGGGCAGTGCCTCCCAACCATTTTCACTTCACAATGTGTATGGAAAGGGAAGACCCTGTGAGGTAATCAGACAGCCTTCAGTCAGCCAGGGACGACTTGCATGACTTGCCAGAATTTATTCACTTTTGTAAATGGTAATGTCACCTACCTCTTTCTACTGGGAGAAGAGTCTCGTGTTTTCCAGTCTCACCCATTTCATGATTTGAATTCTGTGATGTGTGAATTTTGGAGTTTTAATTGCTATCAGATTTGCCACCATGGATTAGTGCAGTTTTGCTTTGCTTGTGAATTTCTTCAAATTCACTTGTGAATTGCCCCAAATTTAGAGGGCATTTTAGTTAGCTGTTGGAAATAACCTGTTAGGACTCGAGCCACATGAAATATTTAGAGACCTGTATGGTATATCTTTAAAGCCAGAAGAGTGATTACTAGAGGTGTTTGGGGGAAATTACCCAACCAGTCCATAAATCCCTTAATTTACAGTTTGTTACTCTGCAACCAAATCTCATATAGCCTTCTATTTTAGTTTTCTCTGTAGTCTTTAGGATGCTTCTGCAGAGCCCAAATTTAAATTCAGCTTCCTCATAAGTTCTTTATTATCGCAAAACAGTACACGTCTCTCAGTAGAGGAGGTTTGGGGACAATGAGGGAGAAATAGGAGCTGTTTTATAACCTTAGACCTGCCAATGAAGGAGAGTAGTGTCAGCCCAGCTTGTCAGCCAGGCCTTCCCTGTGTTGTGCCAAGGGCTCTCTCATTGCTGCAGCTTTAGGGCTCCTCATGCCTGATGTCTCGAGACCCTGGTCCTCCTCTCTCTGCACCATTCCCTGACCTTTCATTAGTGTTCTTGGCTCATTCATACTTTGGATTTAATAATTCAGCTCCTTCTGCACACTGGACCACTTCCTGTGTGACCTGCCCCATCACTGTCTTCTGGGTTATTCCTTAACCAGGTGTACATTTCCCCTGGCAGGCTTGTGGGCACCCTCAATATTCGTGGCACCTGGTCTTGATGACAGGCAGAGACAACTCAGCCTGAGACCCTCACATACCAGCTTCTGGTGCTGTCTGAAATGGCAGTTTCCTTCCAATTTTCCATGGCTCTTAATGGGCTATGTTGCCTTCCCATGCAGGAAGGCAGTTGCAGGTCTCTACTTTGGAAATATTTAACTCTTTTATTTCTGAGACTCTCCTTCCTTTGGATATGATGGGGGTATTTATGAAGGACCCAGAGTTTGTAATCCTTGTTTTGGGAAATTATATTTCACCTTCTAGAGCTATTTCTAGAAGGACTACAACCCCTCTTCAGACTCGATCATTCCCATGGAAGTATTCCATATTTACCGCTTTGGTATGCAAGAGGCCTGGTACTTTTCAAGAGGATTCTACATTGCAAATGCTGAGCCTGTACCCTAGTGGCTTTACCCTGTCCTCACCCAGCAGTTTACCCAACTTCCGACTACTAGTGTTGTTTAAAAAGGGCCTTTCCAGTTTACTCAGTTGGAAAGTGTTAAAGGGTGAGCTGGAAGGCTCTCAGCTGGCACTTTCTGACTCCCTCAGAGGAAAATGTTGGCAAACTCTCCACCCTGCCTGAAACTCTTCTTATAAATTGAGAAGCCAAGAGTTATGAAGCCCTTGCGCAGGGCCAGACTGAACTGTGTGGGAGAATACGTAATGACTCGGGCTAAGATAACTGACCGTTTCTGATAATAAGACTGTTTGCTCTTCCCACTCCAGTCCCCTCCACATTTTGATGTTAATCTTCCTGCCACCAAAAGTAGAAGTGTGTCATGAGTACAGTTTACAGGGCATTCTTGTTCCTGGAGAGCCTTTACTCCGGAAGGTGCATGTAGCTTTTTTTTTTTTTTTAATGTCCTCTTTTACATAAGAAGGAAAGCATTGGGCAGTGTTATTCAACAGGTGTTGCACCTTCTACTAAGGAAAGTTGTCTTCTCTCATTTTTGGCTCTTTTTCTGTGGTTTCAGAGGTCAAGAAGCAGGAGCTTGCCATTGATTTATTATCCTGTTTGCTTCCATCTGTCTGCCTTACACTTCAATTTGTTGGTGGAAAGCTGGATGTGAATGTGCCATGGGGCCTGAGACAGTTCCATCTTCCTGAGTTGTCTGACTGCAGAGCCTATATAATCCCTTCTACCTAGTCCCCCAGTGAGGTCTGCGGATATAGAGTGTAACCCGAGGGGGAGAACATTGGCATCGTTTTTCTTTCTTTATACATCTTTTTACACCCCTGCCTCCGCACACACAGGTCAAGCAAAGATGCCTCTTCCAGCACTGTGCACATTGTGCAGCCCACTCTTGGTGTTCCTGTCCTCCTGGAGTCTCTTGATGGAAGAATTCCAAGTTAATAGATTAAGATTGCCATCAAGTGGCTGCTCTTGGTAGTGGATGGTAGGATACTGGCCACCATGGCTGGCCTCCTCCATGCACATTCTCTCCTCCAGTTACTTAGCCCCTCTGGGAAAAATGATCAAGCTCAAATGCTTTCTTTCTGTGGAATTGGCTATTTGTGTGTGTTTTGTGTGTGTGTGGTTTTTGTTTTTTTTTGTTTTGTTTGTGTTGTTTTTTTTTTTTCTGGGGTGGGGGTGGGGGTGCAGGCAGAGAAAGTTCGGAATATCTCACATTGTAAATCCTCAAGGCATCTATGTGAACCCTGACTGCACCTTCCAGGGTGGACTGGAGCTAAAGGCAGGTTTAGTGCAGTGGTCAGAGCTCAGGGTCCTGGAGCTGTGAATGCAGATGATCCAGAGGCTTACTGAAGAGAACTGCTGGGAATTCTCTCCTGCCAGGTCTGGGCCAGCAGGCCAGAGCCCTCCACCCTGCTTGTGGAAATTGACAGGGAGGGATATGTATCACTCTGAAGGGATGGCCCCACTTTCCCACCGAGGGTGAAAAGAATACCAAACCCAATTCAGCCATTCTATTTGACTTCTGTTCATTGTTTCCCAGCTCTGACAAAGGAGTGATAATTTCTTTCTCAGAGGTGATATTTAGGTGATATTTAGATTATTTAAAGTCCTTACTACCTGGCAGAAAATAAGATTGCAAGAGTAATTGTTATTTGAGGTTGTAAATATACATTGCTTAACTGCTTCCCATAAAAGCTGTAGTTGTGTCATAAAACAACACACTCCCAGGACTGGTTTCCCCTGTTGCCTGGGTCTGGACGCCTGCATCCTGTAATTAGACCTCACCCTGGGCCTTGGGGAGCAGAAGCTCCAACTGAGCTTGAAGGAAGTGATTCCTATTTAGTTTTCCCTGGCGGGTCAGCCCTTAATGGATTTGGGAAAACCTGCCCTGTGGTAAGAGTAGGAGTGAGGTTTGTGTAGGTGGGGCACCCATACCAGTGTGCAGAACACTTGATTATATAGTTCTGAGGAGCCTGGGAGAAGGCTTTCTGAGCTGGCACATAGGAGAAATAAAGACGGATTTGTGCCAACAGGATTGGAGGGGAAGGCCTGAGGACAAAGTGACTATGGAGTACATCAGAATAGTGGTTAAACTTTGGGTTCAGGTCAAGGAAACAAAATTCTTAGGGGTTATATATTTTTAGCAGCTTTTAGAAGTGATAGAGGTTATGTTATGTAACCATTCACATGGATAACTGTTCAATCATTAAACCAAAATTCCTGGATTCCAGCCATTTAAAGCAAAATCGGATGCATAAAAAAACCCACGTATGTTGTAAAGAGCACTAACGTCCTATATAATAAAACCCTAATATGCAAATTGACCAAACGGTGGAAAGACTGGTGGAACAACTGGTCTCTATGAAAATTATGAAGGCTGCCACTGCAGAGAATATAGTTGTTTTTTTAAAATTATTATTACTAGTCTGTTTTATTTCCTCTGGTCTACTTCCTGCACTCATATTTTTTTAATACCCAATGTAATTATTTTATGCAGTGGAATTTCTGCCATTTAAAACATTGAGGTTTTTTTTTATTATTAAATCTTTATTGTTCAGGTTATTACATTTGTTCCTCTTTTTTCCCCCCATAGCTCCCCTCCTCCCAGTTCCCGCCCCACCCTCCGCCCTCACTCCCCACCCACTGTCCTCATCCATAGGTGCACGTTTTTTGTCCAGTCTCTTCCCACATCTCCCACACCCCTTGCCCCCCCCAAGAATAGTCAGTCCATTCCCTCTCTATGTCCCTGATTCTGCTATGATCACCA